TAATTTTTGCCAGGATTGTCTGAAATTATCACATACTTCCAACCGTCCGATTTCATGAATTTAAGGCTCGATCCAATGATAAAATAGGCTTGTTTGTTTAGCAAAAGGAGCAAACAATTAGTAAATCAGGTTATATTTAGTTTTTTTTCCTTTCCGATCTATGTTAAGTGTCACCTATCACATTACATGTCAAGTGGCCTTTTACGTGTTATCGGGATTTATACAATTACAACTTAGTCTGCAACTCTAAAAAGAAATATATTCGTATAACAAATTATTGAACATTGTGGAGAACGACGATGTCTTATAGTACTTAGTCAGACAGTGCAAAATGTTCAGCCAAAAAATGCGAGGTTTGTTTACCTCATAACTTAGAGCTAAACAGATCTATCTTTAGTTCCTGAGCGTGAATCATTTGCATTATTGGTAATACATGCATTTCATAATGCAGATCCTTTGTTAGCCTGCAACATTTTGCAATGAGTTTGCAGCATGGAGCATCATATTCCCGTGTATTCATACAATATAACTGTATAAAACTGTACAAATGTGTGAGTAATGTTATTTGGAAAGTTTAGTAAATTGATGCGGTACACGGCTGTGCAGCGTAACCAAATTCACACTAAATATAACAGACTATACGGTTATTTTAGTGTATAAGCATCCGAAGCGCTCACTATTTTCAGATTTTTTATAACAAACGCAGCCCAACGGAGACTGTAGAGCGCCTTAAATCTAACAGTGACGTCACACGGTACACGGCTGTGTAGCGTAGAGTAAAGAATACATAGCTTAAATATTTTAATCACCACGCTACACAGCCGTGTACCGTGTGACGTCACTGTTAGATTAAAGGCGCTCTACAGTCGCCGTTGGGCTGCGTTTGTTATAAAAAATCTGAAAATAGTGAGCGCTTCGTATGCGTATACACTAAATGAGCTCAATAGTCTGTTATATTTAGTGAGAATTTGGTTGAAAACTCGTCTTACTGCGTCTGCATAATTAGTCCAGCAAAGCGTATATCATGCCCAAAAGCCGCTCACCTACAAAATTATAAATATGCTTTAAAAACAATTAAACCAGTTTAAACAATCTGTTTGTTACCCTAAAGCAATGGCAGCATCAAAAATTTATAGTAAAAGGCCTGCTTTGGGTGAAAATTATCGATATTTTTTTTAGGTTATTTTCAGACAATCCTGGCAAAAATTATGTGGACACCTAACCTTTGTAAGGTTAATATTAACATTGAGACGTTCTTTCATGAAATTTGTCGCCCCCTGCCCCCTATTCAATGTTGTTTCTCGCATTCAAATTTTAAAAGTTTCATTTACCAACATTGAATTGGGGGTAGGAGGGGGGAGAAATTTTCTGGCGGATTAATTATGTAAAAATAGATCTATTTTTGTTTGACGCACTCGCTGTCCACGATAATTTTTGCCAGGATTGTCTGAAATTATCACATATTTCCAACCGTCCGATTTCATGAATTTAAGGCTCGATCGAATGATAAAATAGGCTTGTTGGTTTAGCAAAAGGAGCAAACAATTAGTAAATCAGGTTATATTTAGTTTTTTTTCTTTCCGATCTATGTTAAGTGTCACCTATCACATTACATGTCAAGTGGCCTTTTACGTGTTATCGGGATTTATACAATTACAACTTAGTCTGCAACTCTAAAAAGAAATATATTCGTATAACAAAATATTGAACATTGGGGAGAACGACGATGTCTTATAGTACTTAGTCAGACAGTGCAAAATGTTCAGCCAAAAAATGCGAGGTTTGTTTACCTCATAACTTAGAGCTAAACAGATCTATCTTTAGTTCCTGAGCGTGAATCATTTGCATTATTGGTAATACATGCATTTCATAATGCAGATCCTTTGTTAGCCTGCAACATTTTGCAATGAGTTTGCAGCATGGAGCATCATATTCCCGTGTATTCATACAATATAACTGTATAAAACTGTACAAATGTGTGAGTAATGTTATTTGGAAAGTTTAGTAAATTGATGCGGTACACGGCTGTGCAGCGTAACCAAATTCACACTAAATATAACAGACTATACGGTTATTTTAGTGTATAAGCATCCGAAGCGCTCACTATTTTCAGATTTTTTATAACAAACGCAGCCCAACGGAGACTGTAGAGCGCCTTAAATCTAACAGTGACGTCACACGGTACACGGCTGTGTAGCGTAGAGTAAAGAATACATAGCTTAAATATTTTAATCACCACGCTACACAGCCGTGTACCGTGTGACGTCACTGTTAGATTAAAGGCGCTCTACAGTCGCCGTTGGGCTGCGTTTGTTATAAAAAATCTGAAAATAGTGAGCGCTTCGTATGCGTATACACTAAATGAGCTCAATAGTCTGTTATATTTAGTGAGAATTTGGTTGAAAACTCGTCTTACTGCGTCTGCATAATTAGTCCAGCAAAGCGTATATCATGCCCAAAAGCCGCTCACCTACAAAATTATAAATATGCTTTAAAAACAATTAAACCAGTTTAAACAATCTGTTTGTTACCCTAAAGCAATGGCAGCATCAAAAATTTATAGTAAAAGGCCTGCTTTGGGTGAAAATTATCGATATTTTTTTTAGGTTATTTTCAGACAATCCTGGCAAAAATTATGTGGACACCTAACCTTTGTAAGGTTAATATTAACATTGAGACGTTCTTTCATGAAATTTGTCGCCCCCTGCCCCCTATTCAATGTTGTTTCTCGCATTCAAATTTTAAAAGTTTCATTTACCAACATTGAATTGGGGGTAGGAGGGGGGAGAAATTTTCTGGCGGATTAATTATGTAGAAATAGATCTATTTTTGTTTGACGCACTCGCTGTCCACGATAATTTTTGCCAGGATTGTAGTTCCTTCGATACCAGTGTAATCTTGTAATATGATATTTTCTGTGTTGGTGTTGTGTACTCAGGTGAATATGATGCTTGTGGTGTTACTCTGAGTGTATATCCACACCGGGCGAGCTTGAAAAATAATCCCGGCCACGGTGGGAATCGAACCTACGACCTTTGGAATACGAGCCAATGCTCTGCCAACTGAGCTACGCGGTCAGGACGGTTCGAGTAAGTGATATTTCGGAACAGAATCTAGTTCCTTCGATACCAGTGTAATCTTGTAATATGATATTTTCTGTGTTGGTACTCAGATGAATATGATGCTTGTGGTGTTACTCTGAGTGTATATCCACACCGGGCGAGCTTGAAAAATATGCCAGGTCACGGTGGGAATCGAACCTATGACCTTTGGAAATAGTAGCCCAATGCTCTGCCAACTGAGCTACGCGGTCACGACGGTTCGAGTAAGTGATATTTCAGAATAAAATCTAGTTCCTTCGATACCAGTGTAATCTTGTAATATGATATTTTCTGTGTTGGTGTTGTGTACTCAGATGAATATGATGCTTGTTGTGTTACTCTGAGTGTATATCCACACCGGGCGAGCTTGAAAAATATGCCCGGCCACGGTGGGAATCGAACCTACGACCTTTGGAAATACTAGCCCAATGCTCTGCCAACTGAGCTACGCGGTCAGGACGGTTCGAGTAAGTGATATTTCGGAACAGAATCTAGTTCCTTCGATACCAGTGTAATCTTGTAATATGATATTTTCTGTGTTGGTGTTGTGTACTCAGGTGAATATAATGCTTGTGGTGTTACTCTGAGTGTATATCCACACCGGACGAGCTTGAAAAATATGCCCGGTCAAGGTGGGAATCAAACCTACGACTTTGGAAATACTAGCCCAATGCTCTGCCAACTGAGCTACGCGGTCAGGACGGTTCGAGTAAGTGATATTTCGGAACAGAATCTAGTTCCTTCGATACCAGTGTAATCTTGTAATATGATATTTTCTGTGTTGGTGTTGTTTTCTCAGGTGAATATGATGTGGATATACACTCAGAGTAACACCACAAGCATCATATTCACCTGAGTACACAACACCAACACAGAAAATATGCATGCGACTTGTCTAAATTGGTAGCAACGAATATACAGGGTGAGTAAAAAAACCCTGATACCTTCGCAGCTAATTTGAATAACAAAGGTGTCAGTTTTTTTTCACTCACCCTGCATGTATATCGAATTGGGTACTAAAATATAAGTAACGAAGTAAAACACTAAAATATGAATAACATAGCAAAGAATTTGTTCAACAAGTATTTATGTTGCACTTACAGCCACAATAAAGCTGTTTATTCCCAAATTATTGTACTATATAGCATATTTCGTTTTGTTTGTGAAGCTAAAATCGGTATCCCTAAAGGTTATATTTAAAATTTTGCTCTCTCAACAACTCTTTATGATAATTGAAAAGTGTATTCCAATTCTTCCACTGAAAGCGACAATTATTTATTCCTCAACTATCATTTATCTCGACGCAGAACACAACATTGGGATGCGCAGTCGAGAATAAATTTGCGTAGATAAAACACGTTTGATATTGAACTGCTTTGTCTGGCGTAACTCATGAGCAAGTATTCAATATCGTGTAGGGAGTATCGGGAACAATGACAAACTTCCGCCAAGGGGTAAAATTTTTTCCACTATACTATTAAAAGTGTATTGCGATAGCAGTATAGGTACTAAATGAAAATCTGCTATAACGAATAAGTAGAAAATACACCAGCATTTAAGAATTAAAGTTTTGTTTCTTTTTCTTGTCAGAATCGTCGCTAAAGGAGGAAGGTGCAGGAACAGGTGGGCAATTTGTCGACACTGACCAAAAATAGCGGCTCAGGTCTTCTTGAGTTGCCATCTTCGCGTCGAAGAGCAAAAACATAGACTTTCGGGAGAATGTTTTTAGCTGTTTACTATCAAATATGTTTATTTGTGAAACAGTTGATAAGATTTACTGGGGAAGGCCAACAACTTCTGAAAAGCTAAAGTACGTCGAACTCAGCGTTGGAATAGACTATATTTTAAACGGGGAAACATGAACTAAATGGATATTTACATGAACACTAAATTTTGCTTGTACATACTGAACTAGTTGGACTAAAACAGATGTTAAGAAATAAGTGAAAATGTAAATTTTGTGAATTATTCTTTCATGAAATTGTTTCAGAAGGTCTGCTATAATAATGTCAAACTACACGTGTGACTAAGCCGTCAGTTGCATATTTCAATGTTTATGTTGAAATGACCCATCTTCTTTGAGGTATAGCTTAAAAATGAGGGTATGCTCGTCACCTGAAACTAGCTTTAAATCAAAGTTTTTCTCTAGTCTTTTTATTAGAATTATAATGACTCATCGGGAGAATGTGCCAAAGAGTTGAAATTGCCCTTGTAAGTGTGCACTATTTTTCACATGTTTGGGTACTAATTTTGAAAGGGTTTCTAGCTGGAAGAAAGATATGTCTTGAACAATACTGGTTGACCCTCAAATTATAACTAGTGTTATGGAAATCACAGATAATAGAGAAAAATCTGGTTCATGCACAATATTTTGGATTCAGTGAAGTCCCGATTTCAATGTTGAATCTCTTTATCTGCAAAAACTTAGAAAATTGTATATAAGTAAAGAATTTGACTATGCTCGTCACCCAAAACCTGGTTTTTCTATTGCTTTTTCACCTGGATTTGTGGGAATGCCAGTTATGCGACCAAGAAATGATGCGTGCTGCACTTTTTTTGGACACTGAAGATGGTAATTACATTTGATGTTGTCATATAATGCCATCCTCTTGTGATAATATGCCATTGTCCAAGTAAAGTCCCACACCACCTCCTGCCCCACCCCCTGCCCCACCCCGTACCCCACCCCCACCCCCTGCCCCACCTCCACCCCACCCCCACCCCCAACCCCAGCCCGACCGTGACGACAGTTTGAATAAAACAAGACGCTCTGTAGAGCGTTAACTCGCTGGGGCGTTTTTCTGCGTGCGAAGGACCGAGAACCATTGTCCTTCTGTTCAGGCAACACATGCTGTGCTTTTGTCCTTCATACAGAAAACATGCGAATTCTGGTTATAGCATAGTTGTTGGTGAACTATATATTTAAACTTATCATGTTTAGCACGGCAATCCTTTTTATTGTTTACAGAATTGCCTTCACAAGTTACAGTATTTGACACAGATCAGTTATACTTTTGAATATTGTGCCCCAATAGCAATGCACCCTACTTTATATTTATTTTAATGTCTCATACCAGTCCATTTTGCTTGTCAAGGGAGAGTGCTGGCGCTATCAAATTCGTTAGGTTTGTATATATCGCAGGTATTTAGCATAGATATCTTATGTACACTAGATAGTGCATCTAATTATTCTGCAATTCAAAAATTGAAGCCGTGATTGCAGTCTCAGGTCGTTCCCATGAAATGAGAAGATTCGTATATTTTCTATTTCTTAAACACGGAACTTAAACATGAAGTTAACCCTATTCTAAATACGTTTTTAAACTATTCAAATGATGAAAGTTATTGTTGTTTTTAAGCGTTTATTGGCAAGTGGGAACGACCAACATGGCCGCCATCTATTCAAATGGGGTAACCGCTGGAATATTCTTGGCTTCAATTTTACTAAAAGAGACGCGCTATCTAGTGTATATAAGATATCTATGGTATTTAGGCCCCGTTTACACTATACCGGATTGCATCGGAGCGTAGCGATTTTCATACCGGATTCGGCTGCTGTTTACACTACGCCACAGTCATCCGGTATGCGACGCGGAGCAAAAGTCACTCCGCTTTGGATGTGATATGAAAAGTAATCCGGTATGTGCCGGAGCAGTGTATTTTTGGCATGTATGTTTTAACATTGTCGCCTTTATTTGCTCGCTTTTACAATACTTTATAGCTGTTGTTTGTTTCGCCTTACAACATTTACTATTTCGCCAAAGACAAATAAAGAAAATGATAATAACGTTGACTTTTCGCTTTCGAAAGAGCAAAATTTAAAGAAATACTCGTCAATTTTGGATTAGATCGAAACGAAGCAACGTCTGGTGGTCAAGCTTTTTAAACAAAGTTATATTTTACAAAGAAAACGGGTGTTACTTCTTGTTTTTTATAAATTTTGGTATATTGGTTACTTGTTCCATGGCGACAGTGAAGGACATGAGCTGGCAACAGAGCGAAGCGGCATAGTGTAAACACCCTTGTTTTTTTACTTCGGAGTAAAAATTAATCCGGTATAAAAAGTAATCCGATATAGTGTAAACGGGGCCTAACATAGTACGCTACATTCTTCTGTTGGCCCCAGTTGGCCAATTGGTCTGTCCGCTATAGGATTAAACTGTGCTTTAAAACGTTCAACATAAAAATACTATCAAAATGAAGAGAGAATTGAGACGAAACCACTGGTAAATGGCCGAAAAAGAAAACACCAACGATATCAAAGTTATCAAGGATCAAACGTACTGCATTTTTTATAATACTAAATTAGTTGAATAATTTGGAGCGATTTGTCAACAATACAATTTCAATTCGCTTGGCTTTCAAAGACAAAGGCCATAAATCTCTAGAATACTGTTGTTTAGTAATACATTTTACATCCGTAAGTACAATTTCTTACGCTGAATCGAACCGTGGTATTTTTATCCTTATTGCGCCATTATAGGTATTACAAATACAAATACAAATTCGAACAAATACAAAGACAAACAACGTACTGCGAGTGATTTGTCAACAATACAATTTCGCTGGATTTTCAAAGGCCATAAATCGCTAGAATACTGTTGTTTAGTAATACATTTGACAACCGTGAATACAATTACTTATGCTGAATCGAACGATGGTATTTTTATCCTTATTGCGCCATTCCTCATTAGGCATTACAATATCATATTTCACACTATAGTTTTCACGTTTCCACAGCTAACTATTAGGGACTGTTGTTGCATAAATTTTATATTGTTATGACACCAATACTCATAAAGTAGTTATCTATTAATAGTTATACCTCCTCCCTTTCCCGGTCGCCAACATTTCCAGGGAAAAGTTTTTAGATGCCCTTTTTGATTCGAAAAGTACCCCTCACAGCCTGCCCCCCCCCCCAATTTTAGAAGCTTCCTACGCCCCTGAATATTTCCAATGAATTCGGTTTTTGCGATATGCAAAATTATCAAGGTCTCGATAAGCGTTATCAGCCTCGCCTTCGGCTCGGCTGATAACGTTTACCTCGACCTTGATAATTCCGCATATCATAAAAACCTCAACCAATAATTGTTATATTAATTATCATTCACTTAACAGTATTCTCAATTCTGATTGTTGGTTAATTAATTTACCTGCAAATAACTGTGTGCAAATATCTATCCGAGGTGCAAATAACTGGTCACTGGTGCAAATGCTTCATTGAGCATGGGCACTTTGAAAATGATTCGTCAGCTTAAATTTAACAAATATAAAACATTTTCCATGTTGATATACAGCTATATCAACACGAGTGGAAATTGGGAAAACGAATGTTTTCACACAATTTCGAGTTTTCCCAATTTCCTCGAGTGTTGATATTTAACAATTATTCACCGAAGGCGAAGTGATTACCGGTGAATATTCACCGAGACGAAGTCGAGGTGAATATTCACCGTAATCACTGAGCCTGAGGCGAATAATTGTTTAGTATAAATTTTTAATGAATAAAACAAAATATCCGAATATCAGTTCAATTAAATTTCAGAAATAAAACTGTTTTCGGCCTGTTCATTAATAGTGTTGCAGTGTGTCTTGAGTAGTATAGGGAATGAGGGTTCTAGACCACTTTTTCGGCCCGCGATCTCACCCAACTTCCGGTCAGCGGTTTCCATATTTTTCCCTCAAAAACGCGGGCTCATATTTTTCTAGACCATTTTTCTATTATTTTTGGCATTATTTTTTCTATTATTTTTGGCATTATTTTTTCTATTATTTTTGGCGTTATTTTTTCTATTATTTTTGGCATTATTATTTCTATTATTTTTCTATTGTTTTTCAGCATTATTATTTCAACATTATTTAACAATTTACTTTTCCTATTGAGTGATGTCCGTACGCGTAACTTGTAACACCATCTTCAAGTAGGTATCTTTTATCATCGAAACAGCTGAGTGTAACTTTCTTCAATTCGTAAGTTCCGATTTTATGCTTGATGCTTCTGATCGTGTTCATCTTATGTCTCATCCTACCTTTGGTCTTGATTACGTTCTTAAAGTTTTCGTGAGTGAGTTTGTTTCTAATCACGTACTTTTTCACACCTTTCGCTGTCATTCCACCTCCGCCGCTCTCCTTCACGTAGGAGTACATCTTTGACCTTAACCCTACAAATTCAATCACTGGTACTCCTTCAGCTTCATCCTTAAACTTTCCAATTACCTTCTTATTGTGAGCTGAGTAATATGGAGAATCTTTCGGATAATCTGAGTTGTCCCAGCAGTCCTTCTCCTGACCTATCCTCTTGAAGTCCTCATACACGTCATCAGTCTTGATCTCGTACATTAGACTGTCGGTGTCTGTGAATAGAAGCTTCGACTTATCACCGTACTCCTTCTTGATTGTGTTGTAATGGAAGTCATACATCAGAGTCTTAGATAAGTCTAATATACTCATTCCCACATAGCACGGTTTATTCAGAGTTAGAACTTCCTTCATTCTCTTTACCACAATTAAGTTCTCATTCATAATCCTATGCGATTGGAAGCACGGCGACGCTGTAAGTTTTAGGAGGTCATTTTCCGATGACACTAATTTTACATCAACTCTCTTCCTCAAATTTTCCATAGTCTTTCCGTATATGGAATTGTTCATAAGTTTGAAGAAGTTTTTCTCAAACGCATTCTTAGCTACTGACCGTTTTTGAGTATTAAAGTCAATATAGTTTTTCAGCCAAGTTGACTGCTTGAAGGAGACTGCTCTATGGACCTTTACAAGTTTCATTCCGAGATCCATGTAGAGTTTCAAGTTACGGGCATGTAGGACGTAGTTCTTCCTGGGACCTAGTGAGTTCACCAGTTTTCTTACTCCTCCAATCGTAAGCTGGAATTTCTCAGCAATACTCTTTGCGTAATCTGACAACATTGACGCATCGATCTCCTTACTCTCCGGGGCTAGAGGATAACCGTTGTGTAAATTGTGAAGTTCTTCCGGATATTCCATGTCGACCTCAAGGACCATACTCCTTTCACCGCCTTCAAGGTAATCATCTAGGTTTATCCTATCAACTTCCTCAACCCACTCAAACTCTCCATTTGGTAGAGGTTGAGACATTGCCCAGCCATATAAATTGTTGGCATCGAGGTACATAAGGAACTTGTTTTCAGCCTCTTCGTCGTACGTTTCCATGTACTTATTGTTTGCTGTAGAGTGTCTGTGGGCAATATGACTTATCCCACCTCTCATTCCCTTCTCAAAGAACTGGAACATGTCCATATCGCTTACCAATTCTATTTCCTCTCCTGACTGTTTTAGGAATGCGTCCCAACTTAGACTTGGCGCTGATATGTAGTGAGCAGGGTCAAGCTTGTAGTTTTCCAGACAAGTCCTTCTGAAATTCTCAAAAACATCTGCTAGAAGAAGAACGTCAGTCTCCAGGTAGAGATCGTGGTAGTCTCTCATTGTTTTCATCTTAAAGTGATCCCAGACTTTTAGAGCTCTCTGGTAATCTTCTTCTTTCACTTCAGACTCATATAGAGATGAGTAGAATTTGTCTTTACTTGGAAGTCCCTCAGTATCAAGTTTACTTATGTCATCCAGGTATTCGTAAGGGAATATACCTTTTTGTCTCACAAGATCGAAGTCCTCACCTTGCCACCGCTGACCGACTATCTTGAAGTCTTCAGGTGAAAGGTTACTCACAAGTGCCTCCAGGGAAGAAGCCATGAATTGTATTGAGTCAATGAACACAAGACTTTTACCTAGTGAGAAGGAAATGTATTTTTCCATGTTATTTGGGACCACGTTGATGTTCATCTTAAACTTACCAATTTCCTGCATTATTAGATGGCTATCATAACCTCTTAGGTTGTGGAAGACCACTGGAACTTTCCATGTGATTCTATATTTTAGGTTGCACATATTATGGGCAGCTCCACGGTACAATCCAGTTACGTGGTCGTGGTCTCTCACTCTGTCATCACCTAAGTCGTTGCCACATATGGAGCAGTTTCTTGTCATCCAGAATTCAGCTTCTTGCTCTGGTGTGATTTCCATCTTTTTCTTGAATACTTTATTTACCATCTCTCGGCACTTAATGGACTCCTTCAGTACGGTCTTCAAAAAGACCACTGTGGCGTCTTCACCAACGTAGCTTATATATTCACCGGAGTACTGGTCATCGTAGTGGCACACTGTTTTAAGCCCAAAACTACAGGCCTTGTGGGTTTGGTAAAGGTCTGTAGTACTCTTGTCCTCAGGGTCTTCAGAATCAAGCCTTCTCTCTTCTGGAACTAGTATGGACTCAAAATCGGCGTATATTACAAATGGTGCGGGCAATGAGTTCCTATGGTTTTTGAACTTTATTTTTGTACCCTCACTCGGAAGCTTTGTGGCTTGAGTTCCATTTACCTCAATACATGTTTCACGATGTTTTCCAGTGACTCCTCACTAACGCAACTATGAAGACAGTGTAAGCAAAAGTGTTTCTTGTTTGAGTTTCCGCTAATGCTGAAGAGCATTCTGTTTACATCCTTTATTAGAACGTAGTGGTTACCACCCTCGTTGTCACCCAACAACAGCAGCTCCATATGCTCGTCATATTTTGTTTTGGAGTTTCTAATTGGATAGAACTGCTTCTTACCCTTATAGCCAAACACTGATATGCTTATGGAGTTCTTCCTCTCAATTTTATCAATGTCGCTTATTTTCACGGGGAAGTCTATTTCCTCATAGTCTAGGTTTTCTGCGAACTCCATATCCTGTCGTGTAATGGTGGTTGCTCTTCTAGCTTTGGGTCTCACATGTCTCAGATGACTCCACATAAAACATTTATTGTCATTGTTTTGCATATTTATGAGGCCGCATTTTGGATTGCTGATGTCTGCGGGTAACTTCATATATGAACTACCCTTTAGAGGTTTATACATCGCAATATTAACGTAATGGCTCTCAATATTTAATATGATCCAGTTTGAACCTAAGTTCTGGAAGGTTTCAATTCTAGATAAGATTGTCAGCTGGTTCTGGGCGGCAGTGCTTTCAATGTCCTCGAAGTTGGTTGCGGTTCCTGTTTTTGACTTGAAGTATATTGAATCCTTCTTTGTTTTATCATTTCCGATTTCCTTCGACATTCTTACCTTGATGGTTTCCGTATATTTCAGACCTCCCATTCTCTTCAGCTCATTTACTAATATTCCCCTCACCACCTGCCTACTCGCGGTCATCTGGTCTAGGGGATCCATATAATTTGGAGTTATGGAATAAGTCACAGCGGCACCATTTGCGGCAGTTTCTATTTTCCTATAGGATGGCTTCTCAAGGTATGTTCCAAAAGGATCGATTTCATGTTCCTCTGGTGCGACCACTACCGGCTGTTCCCCAACTTCCCTAGTTACCTTCACAGGCTTCCTTAACTTTGGAGGAGGCACTGGCTTTTTGGTCCTAGGCTTGGGAAGTGGTCTTTCCCTAGGAATTACAGTCCTAGGCTTGGGAACTGGTCTTTCCCTAGGTTTCCACGGAGCCACACCCTTTGGCACCTCAGGAGCTTTCCTTGTCGGTTTTCTGCTGAGGTCCACAGTCGCCGTGAACTTATTTGGTCCCACCTGAGTTATAACGCTATCCGCGGGAACTGAGAGTTTTATTCGGTTCTGACTTATGAACCTCTCCGCGACTGTTTGTTTTCTAGTCTTAGGTTTCAGTGTTTCAGCTACCTTAGCCTTTGGTGGTCTACCTCTTCTTTTGGGGACCTTAGCTTCTGGTGTTTTACTTACCTTAGCCTTTGGTGGTTTGGGGACCTTAACCTTTAGTGTTTCAGCTACCTTAGCCTTTGGTGGTCTACCTCTCCTTTTGGGGACCTTGGCTTCACTATCGGCCTTAACCTTTGGTGGTCTGCCTCTAGGACGCTTGGGATTCCCAAGGTTTTCGAGCCTCTTCATCTCCGCGTTTACCTGGGGATCGTCCGTTCTCCATCTACCTCCCATTGTTGGTGGCAGGCCTTCAACTCCTTTACTTAGTAGGCTCTGGTACGCCTCCTCAACTAGTAGGGCCTTTGCCTTCTGTCTCTCGGAATATTTCCATGTTGGCATTATTCCTCTCTTACCCTTGTAGTTGAGCGGGAGTCTCCTTGGTCTCTTGGGATCCGTAGTGCAATCGCCTTCATCAATGAACAGTTGTTCTTCCATGAGGGGGTTTTCTCCCTTATCCTTAGGTGCAACACGGTAGAACTTGTCCCCATAGAGTTTCTCCACTTCATCCTCAAGATTTTCCTCATAATCGCTATCATCAATTATTTCACCAAGCGCCATAAGTTGTTCAACGGTCATATCGTTCATGTCAAAGTTTGTCGCCATTTTTTCACTCTTTCTCTATATACTATAGGTAAAAAAAAATAGGCCTATTTTAAGGCCTATTTAATTTTTATTTAATTTAATAATTTTTATTTAATAATTTAATTTTTATTTAATTAATAATTTTTATTTAATAATTTAATTTTTATTTAATTAATAATTTTTATTTAATAATTTAATTTTTATTTATTTTATAATTTTTATTTAATAATTTAATTTTTATTTAATTAATAATTTTTATTTAATAATTTAATTTTTATTTAATTTAATATTTTATTTATGTCTAAATTTCCAGCCGTCATAATATTTACACTTCAAAGGTTTCCATCCCAACTTGGGGAAAACCTTTCCATATAGTCTGTCCTCAAGGATGTTTACAATTCTTTGAGTCTTGATATCCTCAGGCGGGTTTCTCAGCGTGATGTTGTTCATGCTGGCTATCCTTAGTAGGTAAAACTTATATCTAACTATGTTGCGCCCCCGTTGCAGTCTAAGTCTTTGTATACATCTTACGATGCTTCTAAACTGCTCCCGTATGGTATCCCTATCCCCTGAAGCAACATGTTCTAATAAGTGTCTCTCGAACCAACGGACTCTATTATGACAAGACTTCTTTTTCAGATAGTTGTCCTTGTTGTGGTTGTAACTAACATAGTATGTGAAGCCATTCATATCACTTGTGCCACATTGTGTGCATACATCTGCTCCATCTATCACCACAGTGGACTTACTACCACATTCACTACATACTGGTTCGTATGTGTGTTTGACCCTCATTTTATTTCTCACGTATTTCATTACTACAGCCTCTAGCTCCTCAATAGTTTTTGCGTTCTTACCGACTCGTTCCATTTCGTCAGGTGTTACCAGTGTCAGCCAGTCCATTCCCTATACTATATGTGTTAAAATTTTCTGCTTGTTTTTGTGGTTTATTTTTACGCCTCCTTATTATTCTCCGTTCCACATATTTTTGGACTGCAGCCTCCAGTTCTTCTATGGTGTCCACCCTTTTTCCCAGGGCTACCACTTCGTCAACGACTACCATTACAAGCCAATCCATTTCTCTATAATATATATGTAAAAATTTATTGTGGTATTTTTATAGCAGTAAATAAGCCGCCCCTCCAACCACCCCACCTGTAATTAAACCGAATATTGCCATGTATTCTGCCATCTCTGAGCTAGGTTTGTAGTGATTGCTTAATTGCGGTCTTCTCGGCATAGCTGTGCGTGTTAACTCATTGATTCTTCTAACGAGTTCCAGTGACTTATTCGTTGAATTAATATCCTTATTTGCCTCGGCTAGTTCCGACTTTAGTTCAGCAATCCTATTTCTTCTATTAGTGACCTCTTCAAGGTACTTCTCTCTTTCGGCTGTTAAGTTCTCCATTGCAACGTTATGTCTGTGGGCCTCCTCAGCGTATCCATTCTTGTCAAACATTTTGAATAAGAATCCCGCTCCAGCAAATGCAAATGCGTTAAAGAGTCCTCCTGCTACTGCTCCCGCCATTGTATAGTCTTACTTAGGTTTGAATGGATCATCTGGTATATACTTCTTTTCTTTCAGGTAAGAGACTAGTAGAGATGAGAGGCTAACTGAGACAGCTAGCTTTACCATTCCTTTTACATTCTCTGGGGTTCCTAACGGTTCTTTCAATAGTTTTT